GGAAATTTTTCTTAGATCTTCATTCATTCATTCATTTAAAAAATACATTTGAGGGCCTGTGTGCTACGCTCCCTTCCAGGCACAAGCAATACCAGGTAAACAAAATGGACAAACTGTACTCTTAACACTTACATATATTTCTCTGTCCAAAGAAATAAGCCAAATCAGATGGAGAAGCATGTCAGATGGAGGGTAATCGATGGGGAGAAAAAGCGAGGAAGGAAGACAGGTTGTGCCATGGGGAGCAGGGGAAAAGGGCATTCAATGAACTGATTCTCCCACAAGGTGACTTCTAAGTGAACCCGGAGGACACCTGGGGGAAGGTGTTCCAAGGAGAGGGTACCCGAGTGGGGATGCTCCGGGGAACGTTCTGCTTGTGTACTCACAGAACAAGAGTTGTTTGTACCTGATATTTACACCCAGGCAACTGAGTCTGGAGAGGAAAAAAAATGGTCACACTGAGTCAGGAGGAACATGAAGACTTAGCAGGTCAGGAAGCTGAGGCAACTTCAGAGACTGACAAGGCGAGAACAGTGAGGCAGGAGGACAATCGGGTGGTCAGTGTGCTGCAATCTAAGCAAACATTTTATGAGAAGTAAAGCCCTCCCTGCAGGTTCACTCATTCACGGGACACATGTTTACTGAGCATCTACTGTGTGCTGCACACTGCAGAAACCGACATGGTCCCTGTTGCTGTGGGACATGCAATCCAGGGGAACAGAGGTACATAAACTTGTAGGCCATTCCTGATAAAGCACAGGATGTTTGAGGGTAACACACGGGAGCCAACTAACCAGGTCTGGAAGGTCAGGGAAGGCTTCCCTGGGGAAGTGGTCTTGAAGAGAAGACCACAACTATAGTAAAAATAAGGAAATGGGTAGAAGTGGAGGAGGGGAGACTGGAAGGAAAGGTAGGACAAAACAGGATTTATAAGGATCTGAAGTGAAGAGAGACATTGTGATGCCTGGCAAGGAGGGGGAGGGGGACTGAAAATCATACCGGAAGTACAGGAGGTGACAGAGGACATAGGAGAAGGGCGGGCCAGATTAGCAGTGTCCTTTAAGACTTCTCTTAGGAGTTTGAACCTTATACCAAAGGCACTGGGAGGCCAGAAAACTGTTTTAGGGCAGGGAATGCAATGATCAGCTTTCTATTTCAGGAGAAGCACCCTGCAGAGGGCTGAAGGGGGCGAGGCCGGGAGAGACTGGCACACTACTTAGGGAGCCTGGTGCCTGATTCACGGCCACTGGAAGCAGCTGACCTGAACTCAGGGACCGGCAGTGGGATTCACTCGAAGGTAGGCTCGATAGGACTTTGACTTGAGGAAGGAGGAGAGGAGGGTCAGGGATGGCAGCCTAGCTTCTCACTTGGACAGACAGGTAACTCCTCCCTAAGAGCAGGAAGTCAGGGAGCTGGGCAGCGTGGTGCTCAAGGTAGAATTTAAGTTTGAAGCGCCGGTAGGCTATCCGAAAAGAAAAGAAAGAATTAAAGAAAAAAAACTGTTTGGCAAATAGGCAATTGGCTATCTAGGTCTAGAGAGCAGTCATAAAATCTGAGATAGAGTAGTAAATTAGGAATCACGGGCATGCGGACGAAAGCCCTGGGAGGGTGTAAAGTGAAACCCGGGGATGAGAAGGCAGACAGCAGAGGAATGGAAATGCCTGGCTCTGTAAAAACCAACATGAACGAGGCAGCAGAGCAAGAAGCCTAAAGGGAGAGAGCAAAAGAGAAAGATGGAGGGGGAAGGGGAGAGGGGGAGAGACAGAAAGAGATAAGAGACTGACGAGGAACAAGAGTCTGGGATAAAAGCAAAGGGTAATGTATTCTAGGAAGAACAGCAGAAGTATGAATCTTTATATAAATGAACTCATGCACAGAAAATGCATGAATTATTCACACTATTCCAAAATCAACCAACAAATATTTTTCATTGGCTTATAATACATTGCAGTTGTAGGATCACCTTAGCCTAGCTGAGGAAATGAAACATAAAATCAACTAAGTGAACTAGCAGGAGTAAGTAAGTCTGTTCTAATAATAGACAGTGAAAGTGCTGAACACTTGGACAACCCTCTGGACTAGAGATTAAAAAATGAAATAAATGTTAGAAATGGGAGAAACAATGCAGTCTACAAAGCTTTGGCAAGAGAGAAAGAAAAAAGGAAAGAAAGAAAAAAGGGAGGAAGGAAGGAAGAAAGCAAGCAAGCCAGTTGAACCTTAAAGAAGAAACACTATATGATATGAAAAGGGGGAGAACACAAAGAGGATTCAGAGTCTATACAAAGTGATTTGGTGAGCAGAGTTATGTGAGGCTAGGTGTCACGGATCAGGCTATACACAAGCGCCCCCCCCCCCAAACACTCATCTGGCTCAGAGTGAGTGAAGCCAATTTTGAAACATACATCTTTAGATGTGCAAAGTACATAATTTTGTGTGAATACCACTGTGCTATCCTTACATTGTAACGCCCAGATATATTCTACTAAATTGTCACAATTCTTTAGTTGAAGAGCTTTGTTTGTTATTTGTTTTGGAACCTTCCAGTATAGTCTTGCGGAGTGGTGCCTACATTTATTCATACAGCAACACAATTAGATTCTAATACTTAAGATGAATAAGAAATTTCTGATTGTCAACAAAACACCAGACCTTATTCATGGAAGGTGGAGTTAGCCAATTTGACAAAGCAGAACACAGGGACTCTGACATCACTACACTGATTTCTTCTGTTCTGCAAAGTTAATTTTTGGCTGATTAATACCATTAATATTAAGATACAAACGCTCACCTCTTCATTAGGTAAAAACACATAGAAATTTATTACTCAATTCAGACTTAGGAACACAGCTATTGGTTTTTTAAAAATTTTTTAAAGAATGACAGTACTACTCCAGAATGTAATTCTAATAAAAGCACAAAAATTAAGTGCAGCGTTCAAAGACTTAAATATTTATCAACCCAAAGTTGATACCCCTAGTATTCCAGTGGCAACTCTTTTTCTTTTCATTACTAATAAATATTCACATGATTAAATGTGCATCAGGATTATCAATGAGACAACAAAACAGAAGCAGTAATTACACAAGTTCCCCTCATTCCTTCCTCTGAGATTTTTAAATGTTTTCTGACAGCACATAGCCCCTTTACTTCTACTTGCATGTAGAATCAAGGCAAACTATCTGCCTATTCTTTAAAAAGCCAAACAACATCGTAGTTTAATACCAAACTCAAGTACTGTATATATGGTCTCTAAATGTGCAAAATACAGACAATACAGTGTTTTCTTGGCTCCCAAACTAGAATTACTATGGCTATGTTGGCAGTAAGGTCTAAATGAAAACAAATTTCACAGCCCTTAAAAAAAAATACATAACTGTCATTGTTAATAAAAGCCAAGTTTACAGCTGGAAACACTGCCTTCTAGCCAAGGACAAGATGTGTCTATTATAAATACTTGGTTTCGGGGATATCCCTTAAATGACCAGAAAAAAAAATCAAATAACATTAGTTCTTGCAAATACAATGCAAACAGCATGCTAATTAAAGTATTCACCAGACAATGACTTAGGACCACAGCACCTATCATTATGGACCTACAATACACAGTAAGCCATCGCTAAGTTGTAGGTAGGCCTTCCAGAAGGGGTTATTATGGTTCACCATAATCAGAGAGGATTGTGGTGTTATGCTTAATCACGTTTTTACCTGCATGCAGGTGTTTACAGGTGTCGACAAATAAAACAGTTTCTAACTGTAAACCTACAGTTCTAATACATAGTACAGTAATTGCACACTGTACCTACCTTGCTGTTTTCTGCATAAACTTCCTAATCCAATATGGAGTAAGAAGCTGCATGAAGCAAGTTCCTCTGCCTGCTTTACCAACAAAAACTTAACCTCTGATTCATTTTTATTAAAATGCCAAAACTCACACACTTAGAATTAGACCTTGATCCAATGACCATGAAGTTCAAATGTAACACTTACAAGGCACAAAATAAATCATCCTCACTGGGGGATGTTACTGTTATCTGAAGTAATCTTCAACCTTCCCATAAAAATACAGGCCTCTCAAAAGCAAATTCTAAAGGAAAACAATACAGTACATTTAGCTAAGCAAATTACAGAAACAACCAATAACGAAGTAAACACAAAATAGCTGTTACAGAACTCCAGATGTAAGGTGGAAAACAGATGGGAGAGGCAACAGGGCATAGGGGTGCCACAGATCAAAGAATTTCCTCTTTCTGTCCTGCCTGCTCAAAAAACTTCAGAAAGCCTGGTGTAAAACCTTCTGGACCCTTCCAAAGATGCTGGTCTGAAGGCAACGCAAGCCAGCAGACAGCCCAGGCAGGACTTCTGAGCAGTAAAAAGAAGGGCATAAATAAAAAAACGGGAAAGGCAGCGGATTTTGACAGGAGTTGGAATTACAGCTCCACAAAGCAGTTTTCCAAGGCTGCGCCTAAACTGTCCCTGGGAAAAGACTTGTTTTTCTACCCAAAGCAGAGATCTGCAGCACCAACAGCCAGGTCATGCATCAGTATCAGAGAGAGTGAAGGTCTGTCCAGGAGCAACATGCATACCAGCTGCCTTCTCTCCACCTCCAGAGCAAACCCTGGATACACACACGAAATGTACAAAGCCACCCTCTAACTAGCCCAACTCCAAAAATACTGGAGGATGGGAACTGAGGGAAAATAAGAGGCTTGGAGTATTCCCAGCCACCTAAAAAGGGAGAATTCCGCGCTCTGAGGTGACCAAGACGGGAACATTTCAAAGCAAGAAAAATGTCCTTGCAAAATAATCAATGGAAGTTCCTAAAAACAAAAATGGGCACGTCTTCACCTCCCTACTGGTCAAGCTGGAGTACTCCAACCAACCAAACCAAAGCCCCCAAAAGCCTCTCTTAGGCTCCGGAGGGAGCTGACCCCCGCACTGGCAGGACAGCTCACAGATACCGGCCACAGCGGGCTGGGCACGGATGCTGCCTCCGCACTTACCTCGCAGGCCAGGGACCCGCAGGCCTTGAGCTTGTCACCATCTTTCTCCGGCAGACCAGTCCGACGTGTGGCCATCATTTCATTTCAGATTACAAAGAAGGGACCAACCCTTGGGAGTCCACATTGGAGGGAAAATGCCACCACACACCAAAAAGGTAAGAATTCCACACCAGGCTCCTAGGAGTTGCAGGGCTGGTGAGATACACAACGCGCCAGGGAATGAAGGTTTGGATGAAGCGCCTTCGGAATGCCCTGATTATTTCTTCGGACTTCAACTTACTTCACCGTCTTCGTCCATTTCTCCAGACGTAAAAAACAAAGGTTCCCCTGGCAGCTAATGAGGCCAACTGCAGAAATCGGTCCCCTCCGTCTTAGCGCTACTCGCGAGTTCAAGAGCAATTTGAAAGCGTCGTGAAGGCTCGCCCAAGAAGACCTTTCCTAGAGGAGGGAAAAGTTGAAGGGCATGAACTTTCTTCGGATGCTAACCTTAGCCTTGCCCACAGGTCTACCCCAAGTTCGCCTTTCCCACACTTGGAAAGACAATTCGGTCCACGCTGATGAGTTGCACGTATGAAAGATGAATCTTCTCATACAAGAAAGGAAAGAAAAAAGGAAAAATCTTATAAATTAGGGGGGGATGAGAAAATTCAGAACTGCACAGCGGTTGCGTCAAACACGCCTGGCTGTTGGGCAGACTTCACGAAAAAAATAAAATCCCTCTTCAAGTGCATCTTAATTCATGTATTTTCTGGGCAGAAAAGAGGGAGTGTATGTTCTCCTGCATCACCCAGGGAAGTTTGCTCTCCCCGAGACTAAATTGGGTAATAGTTTTTCAAAAACCCTCGTTGCTCGCCGCCACCTCCGCCGCTCCCTAAAATAAAAACAAAAAGCCAGGCGCGGACGCAGCCAGCGGCTCCGCCGGCGTCTCCAGGCGAACTGGGGGACCCGGGGAGCCCGCCCGCCGCCCCTCCGCC